CCCCCCCCGACACTTTGAGCACATAATCTCCACGAAAGTAGCATATGTGTCAAGATGTTGTGAAATCAGGCTCTCGTCAATATTTGGGCATTCTGAGTTATTGGTATCATCTGAAAGCTTATTCATTTGCTTTGCGTTTTGTGAAAAGACACCCTTCTATCTGGAATAGAAGTCTAAATGTTTGCAATTGAAGGAGGTGGAGGTAGCATGGTTTCAGAGGTAAAATTATTGAGAAAATGTCCGCCAAAGTTTTTAACGTCTGTAGCTTGAGAGTGCTTGAAAACTGAAAATCTACATAATATTTTGTGCCATCAATCAACGTTTTCAGCAAAATTTTCAGGGAGATATTTTTTTATGGACATAAAAGGTGTTGAGCCAAAAAAAACCCCAAAATTTCATAAAAATTGCCGAACTGGAGGAAAAATGGCTGTTTCTTCGATTTCATTATTTTGACGAGCGCTTGATTTCACCACACTGCCACACATATGAGCAAGAAGTTGTCCGGTTCGGTAGCTTACCCTGTACACCACAACGTCCGGTGGCGGGGTCATGACACTGTCCAGCCACACAGTGCTGAACGTTTGGCTTCTGGTCCTGACATGTGACGTAGTAAGAACAGTTGTACGGGTGACGTAACACAGTACTGTCTGCTTGCCCCAGGCATAAGCTCTCTGTTGACGTCACACAATTAAATTATGATCAGCAACTGCACAGGACAACATACACCATCTTTGGGACAACTTGTTAGAGTAAAAATAGAAAGATAAGTAGTACAGTCGAAATTGTCCAAAATGGCCACCCATTGTCGAGGCGAGGAGAAAAATGGTTGTCTTAGACTGGTGGAAATCTTGGATAGAATTCTAGTATGACTATATTATAATAATATATAAAACACAAGGTGGAAGAAGGTATCGTTCGTTTGTACATGTAATTGTCATAGATAAATGGCCGTAAGAGCAAGTTTAATTCAACGAGTATAGAAGAGACGATTATTTATTTATTTATTTATTTATTTACTTATTTATCTAATTTACCGATTATTGAGACCAGCAAAGCCCAACAAAGTTTACAAAAAAAGCCTGCATAATCAGAAGGAAATGGTGTGAGCAGTCATACCATCGGGCGTCAGTTCTCTATGTACACCAGCACCTCGACCCCCCCCCACCACACCAGAGCACCCGCCAACCAACCACATGATTTGTTGGTAAAGAATCAGTGTGCACTGCATTTGTGTGTACTCAGCGGTTAGGCGCTGTACCGTCGCACACAGGACACCTAATTTCGATTCCCCAAGGGGGGGGGGGGGGGGGGGGGGGGGGGATAGTTATCGAGTGTCTTTAAAGGGCATTCGAGCAAAGAAATGAATGGAGAACCATGATCGCCGATGACTGTCATAGATCTGGCACTTGTTGATGACTGATGATGTCTGTCTGCTGGGATGTTGTATCCCTCTTAGTCTTAACTCGAGTCGGTGCTGACTGACAGGTTGGAAGCCTGCCTCCTGCCTAAGTAATCTAAAATGTGTCGATGGGGGTGTAAAGACACCTACATTTATTTTTTTTTTAAAGAACTATCTGTCCCCGTGGTTTCAGGCACAAAAAAAATAATTATGAAATTATGAAAACTGAGCCCAAAAATGTGAAATTATGCGATTCTGTTAATTTTAACAAAGAACGATAAAGAGGAAAATGATCAGAAAGTAAGCAAAAATGATCAAATTTAATAAATGATGCTGGGTGCATAACACCACGGGGACAGAACTATGGGCGTTCTCACTCACCGAACACTCTAATTTTGGTATGACTCCGCCTCCTGACCCCTGACCCCTCCACCACGCACGTGTAGGTTCCCTGGTCACCACACCTACTGCTGGACAGCCACAGAGTGACCACCGACTCCAAGTCAGACCTCCGGAACTCGGGCACGGCGCGCATGCGCATGGACTCGTCGTACCACGTCGTACTTCCGTCACGGCCGACGGTCAAGACGTCCTGGGAGCTGGATGGTGACGTCACTCGCTGTATAGATATGGTGGACCAATCAGGGACGTGGATGACTGAGCACGTGATAGCAGCCAAGCCTTGGTTTAGAACGCCATCCCTGGCTTCGGATATAACGGCTG